TTCCCCTGTGTGTCTCTCTCCTGTTCTCTCTCTTTCTGTCTGTCCTCTATCTCTCTCTTCTCTCTCTCCTGTGGTGTGTGTGGTGTGTGGTGATGTGTGTGTGTGTGTGTGCGTGGTGTGTGTGTGTGCGTGTGGTGTTGCCTGTGTGTGTGTGTGCCTAGTGTGTGGTGTGTTGTGTGTGTGTGTGTGTGTGTCTTTGGGGCTTTTTCTTTCGCGCCTCTTTTCGCTTTCTCTCCCCCTGTTCTCCCCGCCTGCTGACCTCGTCTCCTCGCCCGCCCCTGCTGTGGTCTTCCGTCCCCGCTCCTCGTTCCTTTGCTTGTCTTCTCTCTCTTCTCTCTCTATCTCTCTCTCTCTCTCTATTCTCGCGCGCGCGCGCGCGCGCGCGCGCGCGCGCGCTCTCCTCCACCCTTCTCTCCTCCGTTCCTCTGTCATGTCTGCCTGTTTGTCTCTCTCTCTCCGCTCCTTCCCTTCCACACACACGCCTATATGATCTCATATAATATATATATATATTTATATATATTTATATATAATATATATAAATAAAACACACTACACACACCACAACACAACACACCACACACACACACACACACACACAACACACACACACACACACACACACACACACACACACATGCATATCACTTGAGAGGTTACTCTGAGCCGAATCAGCATAGCACTTTGATCATTCCCGCACACGTTGCAGGTCAGGTCACAATGGCAGCTGAAGCTCCAGCGCCATTTAAAGCGAAATAATTTGTGCACAGCTGCATCGCCTCAGCTTTCTTTTAAGTGCACGGGTTTCGCAGCTCACGTCCTCCTTTCCATGGACCGTGTGCAGCTGACGTGATCAATGGCCAATAGTAAATACACGTGGTTTAGGATATTCTTTTCTAAATCAGAATAAGGGTTAAATGAACATAATAATATAAAGAATGAACATAATTAAAGAAAGAACATAATAATAATAACAGAATAAGAACATAATAATAAACAGAATAAGAACATAATAATAATAACATATAAGGAATAATAATATAATAACAGAATAGATAATAATAGAATAACATAATAAAATAACAAATAGAAAATATAATAATAACAGAATAAAACATAATAAGAATAAGAACATAATATAATAACAGAATTAAGAACATAAATAATAATAAGAATAAAACAAATAATAATAACAGAATAAGAACATAATAATAATAACAGAATAAGGATTAAATGAACATAAAATACACTGATATCTTCAATTGGAATGTACAACCATATCATACCTTTCTAAGTTGTGATAAGGCAGTCACAACATCTTATATTTGCTTATATTTGTAGTTGTGTGTATATTCAGTCTCCTTCTTTTTTTTTTTTTTTTTTTTTTTTACATTGCTTTGGCTTATGTAAATCGGATTTGCTTATATCTGTTGTGTATATTGTTTTCTTTTTTTTTTTTTTTTTTTTTTTTTTTTTTTTTTTTTTTTTTTTTTTTTTTTTTTTATTTTTTTTTTTGCTTTGCTTATGTGACTCGAAATACTTATTATACTCGCTGAAATTAGTATACATAACATAGGAGGGCGTAAATAAGATCTATATAAGTACTTATATAGAGAAGAAAGAAAGAGAGAGGGAGAGGGAGAGGGAGAGGGAGAGGGAGAGGGAGAGGGAGAAGAGGGAGGAGGGAGAGAGGGAGAGGGAGAGGGAGAGGGAGGGCAGAGGGAGCGAGTGAAGAGAGGGAGAGGGAGAGGAGAGGGAGAGGAGAGGGAGGGGAGAGAGAGAGAGAGAGAGAGAGAGAGAGAGAGAGAGAGAGAGAGAGAGAGAGAGGAGAAGAGAGAGAGAGAAAGAAAGAGAAGAGAGAGAAAGAGAGAGAGAGAGAGAGAGAGAGGAGAGAGAAAGAAGAAAGAGAAATGCACCTATAAAAAAAGAATCCAACCCCGACCTTGGGAGTAAAGAGACAGACTATTCCGATAACACATGATGTGGGGGAAATACGTCACTCCCTGAGTCAGCAAGAATGATGACCTACACAGCTCGTCGCAGCGTGTTCGCTCGACCCGAATGAATCTTTCACTCGCCTGAAACCTGGTGAATAACTACATAAAAACCCAGTAGCGTAGCAGCGCGTTCCAGTGTTATATTCATATCAAAATTATATGGAATTTCCACGATGATACAACAACGCATGTAATGGCAGTGCAGCTGTGACAGCGAAACGGGCCAATTACATCTCTTGCCTTTGTGAAGTTATCATATTCACTCATACTCTTTTCTGCACTTGACACAATGAACTCTATTGACTGACACCACCATACAAAGGCAGTGAGAACACCCAGGCTGTCAACATAACACGTGAAAGGCAATCAGTATCATCCTAGACTGTGAGTACAATACAGGGAAGATTCTTACAGGATGGTGGACTCGCGTTCAAGACATTGTGAAGGTATCAATGTGACAAAAGCGCTTTTAAGGTCGAATATGGCGTGCAACCAAGGGAGATGAGTGACCCGGATGAGGCACATATATGGTATGATTAATGAGGGAAAGGGAAGCGTTGGCTTGTGAAGTATCAGGTGAGAAGAGCGAGAGGAAAAGGGGATTAAAAGATTGTTGACCAAAGGGTATGAGAGCGGGGCCGAGTGGACACAAAGGATAAAATTATATTGAGAGAAGTGTGAACATACAGAAAATTTTAAAATGATCGACAAGAGAAGTGATGACAGTGACTGAGAAAGAGAGAAAGAAAAAGAAAGAGAGAGAGAGAAGAAAGAGAGAGAAAGAGATAGATAGAGAGAGAGGGAGAGAGAGAGAGAGGGGGGCAAGCCATATGACTCTATGTGGGCAAGACATATATAAATCTCAAACTAATGTAACGAATTCTGTCATCAGACGGTGCCAGAATTAGGCAGATTCTGGCACCGTATGTCAAGGGAGAGCGGAAACACCCGAGTATGTTTTGGAATCAGAGGGACAGGTATATTTCATGGATGAAGCTCAACGCAGAGCTTTTCTCTATTGTACATTTTAGGTGAGTGAGGCACGAAGAGATAAAGAATGTTTATCTAGTGTGCATTTTAAGTGAGACATGAAGAGATAAAGAATAAATGTGAAAGCTGAGATGTTCTGTCCACCTGTGCGACTCCTTTTGGCATTTGCCCCCGAGCGAAGTGACACGGCTCCAGGTCCTCCTCTAAAACCCTCGGCCAGATTTACTATTTATGCCACGGACCTCCTCTTGCGACCCTGCACATGTCGCGCAACCGAGGCATCTGCCACGGCGTAGCAAATGAAACTCAGTAGCGAGAAGGTGACTTGCGTTTCACATTCGGGTTGGCGACTGCGTTTCACATTCGGGTTGGCGACTGCGTTTCACATTCGGGTTGGCGACTGCGTTTTCGACTGCGTCACATTCGGGTTGGCGACTGCGTTTCACATTCGGGTGGCGACACATTCGGGTTGCGACTGCGTTTCACATTCGTTCACATTCGGCGACTGCGTGTCACATTCGGTTGGCGATGCGTTCACATTCGACTGCGTTCACATTCGGTTGGCGACTGCGTGTCACATTCACTGCGTTTCACATTGGGGTTGGCGGCTGCGTGTCACATTCGGGTTGGCGACTGCGTTTCACATCGGGTTGCGACTGCGTTTCACATTCGGTTGGCCTCCCGCCCGCGCCCGTAGCTGTGCCGGTAACGATTTATGGCGAAGGAAGGTCAGGGCGTTAAAAGCAAAGGCTCGGAGAATGGGGACGAGAAGGCAGGTCGTCAGGAAGAGGGAGACACCGAATGGCCCGCAGGTCATTTGGGCGAAGGCGGTCGAGGTCGAGGTTAGGTCAGAGGCTCCATACATATATATACACACATATTGACATATATATATATATATATATATATATATATATATATATATATATATATATATAATATATATATGTGTGTGTGTGTTGTGTGTATGTGTATAGGTCGAGGCTCAGTAGGGCCATTGTCCAAAAAATGCCAATTGGAGAATAGCCTACCAACGAACTGTATTTCTTTTTATTTATATATTTATTATTTTGGACGAGCCATCAGAGTATTATGGACGCCACACGAGAATTATCTAAACATCCAATTTTCTGAAAATTATATCAGTAGAGGGACTGAGGAGTTCCTGTGTGCAGAAAAGGGCCCCTAAGTTAACCTTCATTTTTGGTTTGCGGGTCATATGACTCTCCATAACAGCCATATGACTCACCATAACAGCCATAGGACTCACCATAACAGCCATATGACTCACCATAACTCACCATAACAGCCATAGGACTCACCATAACAGCCATAGGACTCACCATAAACAGCCATATCACATAACAGCCATATGACTCAACAGCCATAACATACAGCCATATGACTCATAACAGCCATATGACTCACCATAACAGCCATAGGACTCACCATAACAGCCATATGACTCTCCATAACAGCCATATGACTCACCATAACAGCCATAGGACTCACCATAACAGCCATAGGACTCACCATAACAGCCATAGGACTCACCATAACAGCCATAGGATAACAGCCATAGACTCTCCATAACAGCCATAGGACTCACCATAACAGCCATAGGACTCACCATAACAGCCATAGGACTCACCATAACAGCCATATGACTCACCATAACAGCCATATGACTCTCCATAACAGCCATATGACTCACCATAAGTCATATGACTCACCATAACAGCGAGGTTAGACATTCTGCAACATTGCACCGAGAAAATCGCCATCATGTATGAAATCAACGACTTCAAAAAGACCGATAAATTTGGGGGTAGGGGAAACTAAATTGGAACTAGCTCTGCAAATTAGGTATATTTTCCAACCTAACAACTCT